AAGCTAAGAAGAACAGGAAAAGCACCCTCTTACTGTCAGTAACCACAGGCACATGGACACATTTGCCTTCTCTTTCCCTGTGTGTGTGTGTGCTCCTTCCCCTCTCTTCCCCCACCATACCCTTACCTTTTTTTGGACCATGATACGGGGGACCCAGATGTTGCATTTCACTGGCCAATGGTGAGGAGAGAGGGGCTGGATTGGTGTGCAGTCCCGATGCCCCTTCTTTTAAAAACGGCTGAGCTCCTGTCTCCAGCTCAGCAACTCAACTCACACGAAGGAGCAGAGGCAAGAGTCTGTCCAAACAGCAGCCTCAATCACACCTGAGGACCTGAAGTAGCTACGCTGAATTAGTTCGTATCGATGCTGTAGAGAATCGCCAGCACAATGTTGGGATTAAATAAAGTGGCGCTGCTGCTGTCTTTCCTGGCCTCGGTGGCTCTGAGCCAAGGTAGGTGAAGATTAATGATTGGACTGCTAATATACTATTATCATGTCAGAATGACACAATCCCAAGAAATTGTTGTAACTACAGATTTGCCAACGAAATGATGCTCGTGAAACTGCAAATGTTGAAAATGAACCTTGAGCAATTTTCAGTTCTCTTGTCATAATCACACAAGAAAGAGGGCCAGTTTATGAGTATTAACACATGTGCCGCACAACTGACAGTAACCGTAGAGTTTCCCAAGTTGACGGCATGTCCCTAAGGATGTCAGAGCGGGATTTTGAAAGAATTTAGACAAATGTCTGAAGATGAGCTCATATGATAAGAGTAGTGCACGATTAGTGTCTGTGTACTTGGATTACTTACGTTGTTGGGACATTAATCTGTGTTTTAAGTCAGCCTACTCCCTTCTGGGGATGTGAAGTCATAATAAAGTCCGTATTGTAAATCACAAAAATGTTGAGAAAGAAGATGTGGTTTGAGGTTAGGTTTAGGAAAGTAGAAATACTTTTTATGGGTATATTAAGTCTCTGGCAATGTAAAACTAAGTCAAAGTAACATCCTTTGAAGCGATGGAAACGTGCGATAAGACTGCCTTATTACCTCTTTACGTTGAAATCTCGAATCTAAAGCAATACGCATGTTTCTCCAGCACTTTTAATAACACAAAGGAGATGGATGGAGATGGAGTGGGATGTTAAGGAGAAGAGGTCGTGAAAACTGTCCCTGCAGTGTCGTTTAATCACAAAACAACAACAATTTCGTGATTATGAAAACCCTAGCACAGTAGCCGCCACTATCAGCAAACGGAAGGCCTGCTTTATGAAAATTGTGTCCAGCTTTTATTACTTGACCAAGATCCAGTTTGAAATTACAGCTTTTTTTTGCACTATTTTTCTAACGTAGCTCCCGGTTTTTAATGCTGGTTA